TGTCTTGCGTGCGGAAAGTGGTACAATAAAAAGATATGGAGTTTATGATGTATTTATAAGAAGACTAGCGACTTACCCTCGCTTCGCTCTGGTTTGTCCCTAGCTTGCTTCCCAATACAAATTTTGATCCCCATTTTCATCCCCTTAAGGGATGATTTCCGGAATATAAGGTATCCGATGTACTTCCCAGGGTCTCAAACTACTTTCTTACCAAATTTCATCTAAATCGGTTCAGTAAATTCAGAGGTTATCCCCTACAACGTCACAAACTCACAAACTTTACCTCTTTATTTATTAGTATAGATAATTATTTTTGTATATAGTAAAGTTTATTATATAACAACAAAAAGCTTATATGGTGAAATTACTTTTGTAACATTGCAGCTATATTCTCGAGGGGCGTTGATGTGTGTACATTTACTAACCCTTACTATACTACCTACTATGAAGAAAGTGTGATGGAGTGCAATCCAATAAAACCGGAAAGCGATTACATGCAGGGACGGTTTTACGTCTTTTCGAGGGTACAGGGATGTAACACGCGTACAATTTCTGAACTAAAGATTGCTACTTAGAATTTCTTTACAGAAAATCAGATTTTTGACCCGATCCGGAACTCGAATCTAGAACCTGATGAAATGCAGCTGTATATCAGTATTGTATTATTATTGTTATTTATAAATGTATCTATTGAAAAAAAAATTATCATAAGAAAAAATTGTACGAAAACAAAATGGGCATATTTACATTTGTTATTACTAAGTACAAGTACAATGCATAGTGTAAACGTATGAGTTCGACGTTAAATTTCGAGTAAATATTAATAAATTTTTGATACAATATATAATTTATTATTCATATTCTAAAAACATTGTATGACGAGTGTATTTTTATTTACACCTTCCAAGAAGCTTCCTTTCATTGTGGAATGATCTTTCTCCTGAGGTTTTCACTGAGCGCTATAACATGGGACTCTTCAAGAACCGTGTCTTCAGGTCCCTTAAAGGCCGGCAACGCATTTGCAACTCCTCTTGTGTTGCAGATGTCTATTAGTGGCGAAAGCACTTACCATCAGGTGGATCGTTTGCTCGTTTGCTCCTTTTTTCTATTAAAAAAAGCAAAAAACTAGTTACTTTAATTATTTCGATGAAATAAGAAAACATCATACCATAATATATTTTTTTATTTTTCTTTATAAATAATATCAGAGCGATATATGACAAACTGTAATTTATTAAATTATATTCCTTGGTAGCCAAAACTTATCCACTAAATCAAATATTACTCACAATGAAAATTTTCTAACATAAATCTCTTTATAGGATACGACTGCATTAAATGTATGGTGCGGTATACGATATCCTTAATTAAAATTTAATAATATTGTGAAAGCGAAATTGTGTATGTTTGTTGGTGAGCAAAATAGGTATAATATGTATATATAACTTCTCTTCATAGTATACGACTTGTATACGAATTATATGGTCCAGTAGATATACGATATTTAAGATTTAGTATTGTGAAAGCGTTAAAAGGGGCTGAATACATATGTACATACATACATTGTGAAAGCGAAAATGTGTTTTTTATGTTGATGAGCAAAATAGGAATGAATCTACGTCATTTTTGATAGTTTGTGATAAAAATGTATTTAATTTTTTATTCTGCTTCATCAAGTATTCGTAAAACTTACTCTAAATAAACATGGCCTAGTAAAGCTTTAGTTTTAATCATTAGAATTTACTATGTTTATTCCCAAGGAGGGTTGATGTCAGGTAGATAGCCGGTCGTAAAATTTTACTTTTTTATATATATTTAAAAGTTTTAATTTTAAAGAATCACCTAATTTTAGTACTTTTTTAAAGTTTTGCTGAGTATTTTTGGATAAAACAGACGGTAGTAGACAGATAATATCTAGATAAGCTCCTTTAGGTTAGAAGTTAAAAAATAAGTATATTATATACTAGCAAATCACCCTCGCTTCGCTCGGGTTCGTCCCTAGCTTGCTTCGCAATACAAAAACTCCCCATCTCCCCCCATCTCCATTCTCTCCCATTTAAGGATAATGATTTCCGAGATAAAATTATCCTATGTCCTTCCCAGGGTCTCAAACTATCTTCTTACCAAATTTCATTTAAATCGGTTCAGTAGATCCAGAGATTACCCCCTACAACGTCACAAACTCACAAAATTTACCTCTTTATAATATTAGTATAGATTACTTAACTTGAAGAAAACAACTGTATACGATATATCGTACTCGTAAACTATAAAGATAGTGACAATGCCAACGGAGGAATGGGAAAAATAAATTAAAGAGGTAGAAATAACAGATATTATCATAACAACACGATATAGGCTAGCATTTTTACTACGTGAAGCGTCGGTTTGTTTCGTGGGTTAATTTTTAAGATAAAACTAAAATATGTTGATAACAGATACTCGCTCATATATTTTTATTTATTTAGGATACAAATATTAGCAAACAATAAAAAAATCTGGAAGTCGATTAAATATGGAATGGAAAGGCTGTTATGTAATGTCTACATTGCATACATTAAATTTTAGCTGGTAATTAAAAATATATTTTAAATCAATTTAACGGCTCTGTGTTTTTTTTAAATCTAGATGTACATAGATAAATACTTCTTAAGGGAAAAATAAAATACATCTTAAATCGAAAAAGGTTTCATCTGTTCCCATTTTTTTTTTCTTTAACAGATAATGAAAGTACTATTAAAAAAGTAATGGAAGTTAAGGTTTAATGGTGTCAAACTTCGAAACAGAAAAATTACCCATCAAAATGTCCGAGCAGACACATAACAGACATACAGAACGTGTCGCCCATATTAACAGATTGAGTAAGTGAATAGGGAATGCCAAAAGTGTGGTATTTGTGTCATATCGCTATATATGGGCATTGTGTAATGAATTATTGGCGTATGGATGTATAAATATGATTGAAGATATGATCAGTGCCAGTTTTGTTTTTTTTTTAATAAAAATATTATACTTTTTTCAGCAATATTTTACGTATAATGCAATAGTAAGAGAGGTTATATTGAGAAATAATTATAATACCTAATAGTTTATACATACAGTTAACAATAAAAGTGAAAAATATATTAGACTTATTTTAAAACATTTTTTGTCTGTATGTACTAATCTTTTACTATTCAACTGCGATTCTCAAGTCCTTTAATGAAGATTATTAAAATAAAATCAGATTTTATATTCATTAAAACTTATACAAAAATATATACTTTTTATATCAATAAGCTTTAATATTGAGTTCTTAATACTATGTAGTTCTTTATAAAGCCTAGAATATATTTAGTGGCAGCCAAGTGTATTGAAATATCCGCTAGACTGGAAAGATAACATAAAATAAATATATTTTATTTTTCCAAAAAGATACAAAAATCCTTAGATACAACGTGAAAAATGTTTTTAAATTAAGTTTTTATGTATCAAAACACGTGAAAGTGTTTGATACATAGAATCTCCGGTTAACAATTCAAGTACAAATTTTGCTGATTTTAAAGATTTGTTGTTCATATAATTGATAGGTTAGAGACATTTTAGAGTTCCGTTGCTAAAAGGCAAAATCGAAACACATAATTTCGATATGTTCGTCTGACCGTCTGTTCATGTGCCACAGCCATTTTACTCGAAGAGTTTTAGAGCTTTAATTATTTGCTTGGACAGGTAAGTGTCAAAAGTAAATTCTATAGTTAAATTACAATAAATAAAAATTGGGATTGTCAAAAAGCCATGTAACTGAGAGATGAAAAAGAAATCAAGACACTTAAGTCGTACTACGTATCCCTGAATAGGTAATTAAAATTGAGATAGATGTTTTTCAATGACTTTTTTGTTTTATACTGTTTATTCTAACCCTCTGAAGAATAAACAAAGCAATACTAATTAGAAATGCCTCTCAGCTATAATTACTTCAAATTTAGTCAGGTAAAAATACCATTTCGAGGCTTAGTCTGCACAAACATTCAGAGGGTATACATAATCTATACATATAATAAAATTGTAACGAAGCCGAATCTGTACGTTAAATATTTTTTGGAAAATCTTATTGAAATAGACATTATTATCGATACAGAGGTTGAATCTATAGTTGTTAGAATTTTTGTTTGTCTGTATGCTACCGCATCACAGAAAAACCACTGGAGGGATTTTGATAAAATTTGGTATGGTGATAGCTGGTTATCCCGATCAACATACAGGATACTTTTTACCGCGGGAAAATATTTCATTTTTGAGAAAAAATATAAAAACTGCAATGTAACAATATACTAATATGTAAAACCTAAGTTTGGTTTTTGGTCATCTGAACGCGGGCGGAGCCGCGGGAAATGCTAGTGATAATATAAAATCGTACTGAAAAGTAATATTGATGCCGATAAATAAAATTGAGGAATCTGTATATTTGTCTGTGTGTGCTAATAGTAGCTTATCTCTGAAAAAGTTAAAAAGATTTAGAGGATATTGGAAAGAATTACAAACATTGACCAACCCAGAACCTAACTTGCGACTTCCGCAACTATTTCTATTCCAAGAATTTTTGCGTATATCCGAATTTTTAGATCAAAAAATTATTTCAAATATTATAGTGCCTACGAGCTAATAAGTACTTGAAATAAAAAAAAAAGTAATTGTAACGTTAAATAAGCGCAGATATCATTTCAAATAACATAATATGTAGATGACAAACGCTCTACAAGGTGCGTGCGTGCATTGTCGCTTTGCAAAAAACCTTATTGTGAGCAATCGGCTTACAATATTACCGTAAAGATATGTAAAAGAGTAATAATCCTTATTACTGTAATATATAAGATTGAGAATTGTTTAAAATTTAGTATCCTACATGATTTTTTAAAGGTATCGCTAAGGTCGATATAGTGCGCGATTTGAATGACAATTTTTAAACCTATTGTCTATAAAAGCAATGAAGCGTTCATGTCTTGAAGCGAAAGTCAACGAAAATGAAGGTGATTACACGTTTATATTGTGTTTTTATTAAGTGCCTGTGATTGAAAGTGGATAGAAAGAAATATATAGCTAATTATTTCTATATTTAATTTAAGGGCTTAGTTATCAAATACCAGATAAAAGTTGTCTACAAATAAAGTACAACTAGATTTAATATAAAAGTGATTTATTTTAGTTTTATTCAACTATAGTTTCTAATTTGAATTTTTAGACCTTATTATTGACTGATTTCAAAAGGAGGTTGTACGTGGGTATTTCTCCGAGATTTCGTCCTTCATCTAATTAATCTGGCCAAAAATTATTTTCATTTTTGGCTCTATTCAACATACTCTTATGATTAAACACATGCCAAATATTATTTGGAAATACCCACCTGCTTAATTTGGTTGTGGGTTTTTTTGTATGCTAGGAATATTGAAGCAATTCTCATAATTCTTTCTAATAAACAGTCCAGCTCATAGAAATTAAAAAAAATATCACGCCTAAGAATGGAATAATTCATTATTTTTAAAGTTAATAATAACGTTTAGCTACAAAGGTATAATATATGAACATCTTTTATATGACGATTGTAAAATCAAACTTTATTAAAAAAATAACATAAAAAACTTAACTTTCGTTTCAAAGAATTGTCGCATTAAAAAAGGTCTATCGAATTATTTAATTATGAAACAAAAATTTATTCCATATTACAGGAACTTTTAACGGTGGTGTCGCTAGTACTAAGCGGGGTGGTCACTCAGCCTCCCGCACCGTACCCACCTAGTGGTTGGAGGCCTAATGGACCCTCTTTTGATTTACCGCAGAGACCACAATCGTTGGTAAGTCAAACTTTATATGAAAGCAGTAATTAGACATGAATTAGTGTTAGATATTAGACATGGAATAGAAAGTAAAGAAGTAACTTGTTATGTTTTTCTGTTTTGTTGTTTTCGTGCGATTTTACTACAAAATACTTCAAGTTCTTCGATTGATGACGAGGCAGTACAATCAAATCCATGTTTAATGTTATTTAATTGAAACTGCAAGTATTTTCACAGCTAAACTAATATTATTGTCACACTATTTCGTTGTATAAATAATTTAAATATCTAAGGTTTTGCTTAAGTTACAAAAAAATCTTATTAAATAATAAAAATAATAATTATAATAAAAACTTTTTAACAAAAAAATAAAAACCGACTTCAAACAAAAGCACTAAAAAGTAAAAAATAACTGATTGGTAGTTTTCATTTACTATACATACCTAATCAAATATTTTCGAAGTCGGTGTGCTTTGGCTAAGTAATTAAAGCCTACCTATTAAATACATACCTAATCAAATATTTTCGAAATCGGTGCCAGCCCATACAAAAAAAGGTCTATCGAATTATTAAAAAGCACACCGACTTCGAAAATATTTGATTAGGTATGTATAGTAAATGAAAACTATCAATCAGTTATTTTTTACTTTTTAGTGCTTTTGTTTGAAGTCGGTTTTTATTTTTTTGTTAAAAAGTTTTTATTTTTCCATTTTTCGTGTAGACAGTAGTAGCAAAGTAAGGATTCTAACGTGTTAGGCTTGTCAAATCAAACAAAATAAGCCCATACTCAAAGTATCTACTATTAGCCGTTGAAGAGTTCCACCTATCCACCTTTTGGCCTTGCCATCAGATCAGGTTAACAACACCGGACCACTGTACTATCAATGGAAATAGAAATACTTGCAAAGTTTCAAGTCAATATGACAATTAGAAGTAGGTTAAATTCATCATTAGTTGTTTTTCCACCCTTAGGGGTGGTATTTTTTTTGAAATTTAAATGGGACCAATCTGGAAGTATACCCTTCCAAACAAAACAAAAATTGTCCAAATCGGTTAATAAATGACGGAGTTCTGAGGTAACAAACATAAAAAAAAAAAAACATACAGTCGAATTGAGAACCTCCTCCTTTTTGAAGTCGGTTGAAAAAATACATTCATTATATTATTTTACACTAGCCGCCACAAAAACAACAGTATCTACCACCAGTAGACCCTAGAAGACCGCTTCCTCCCAACAATTTCGACGATAACGTGGACCTATCAGTCCAAGGTCTGCCTATAGTGGTGGAAAAACAGCCCATTTTCGAAGTGTCACCAATCAATGGACAGCTTTATAATGGACCAAGCATTAATGCTGACATTGCAAAATTAAATCCAAGCTTTCAACTAGCACAGGTTTGTTAGAAGTTCTAAAAAATCTAAAAAAATATAATGAAGTAGATTTTTTTAAATACCTTGTTTATTTTGTTTTGGTACTAAAGTTAATACAACTTTAGCAGCTTTTACCTAAATTAAAATAATAATGTATATTCTCTAGAACAAGTCCAGCAAATTATATGTGAAATTATAAAAAACCTTATTAATTTCTAATAGGTTCATTACATTAAAGCCATTTTTTTTCTGTAGTATCAACAGCAGCTAGAAAAAGCACTTCAATTCGAAAGACAGAGACAGTTTGAAGCGGCACGCGCTAACTATCCTTCAAACGGGTTACCAAACCAACAACCACCAAAACAATTCGCTTCACAACCATCATCATCAACAACAACAACCACTCCAAAACCTGAGTTTAAATCACCGAAACCGGAAACCACAACCGAATCCGATTTAAATGAGGGAGAAACTTTAGAAAACCCTGAAGGCCAAACCGAAAAGGTCTCAGTGGAGGTTTCAAAACAAAACTTGCAAGAATTCCGCCCAGAACTGTTATTGAGTCCTCTAAGTCAATTAAATGCTCAACCGCAGTTTGTCACTTTAGACCAGTTTGGTCAACTTAAAGCTCCGATATATTATCAACCAGTACAAGGACAAGGTTTTGATGGTCCAGCTCACCTGTCTGCGTTACCTTCAGTTCTAGCGCAACGAGAGCTATTATCTCAACAACAACAACAACTACAAAACCAAGGCTTCGCTCAAAATCCCATTATCGTACAACAAGACCAATCTTTAGAACCCATTAATCAATATCAACCATTAATAGCTCAGTATCAACCAATACAACCACAGATTCAAGGTTTCCCTCAAATACAACCGCAACGTGTTATTGTCCAACCTCAAGTGGTAAACCAACTACAACCGCAACCGAATTTAGTTCCACAACAGCCAGATCAATACGCACAACAACCAAATCAATTCTCGCTACAAGCCGGTCAATTCCCACAACAACCAAGACAATTTCCCCAACAGCCAGCACAATACCCACTGCAGCCCGCACAATTCCCACAACAGCCTGCACAATTACCACAACAGCCATCACAATATCCACTGCAACCCGGTCAGTTCCCACAACAGCCAGATCAGTTCGCGCAACAACCTAACCAATTCCCGCAACAACCAGGACAATTCCCACAACAACCAAGCCAATTCCCACAACAATCAAAAGACGTGGAAGAAATCGAACCAAACGACCAACAAGTAGTTTATCAAAACTATCAGCCACAATTCTATCAACCCACCAATCAGTACCAAAATGCTGAACAACCATTATTTTTGGCTCAACCAGGATTGATTAACCAAAACCAATTCTATCAAAATCCAATAGTTCAGTATGATCCAAACCAATCTCAACCTCAAGTGTACCAAGACCAAAATGCTTTACAAAGCGGTTTAGATATAGATCAAGGGAATGATCTAGATCAAGCTGATGAACAAGAAGATCTAGAAAAAGATGATGAAGGATCTAAGGCAACAGCAGTAGCTACGGCTTTTGGCGCAAGGTGAGTAATGTTAATCAATTTTAGCAGTATTTTTAGGACATTATATAAGATTAACGTAATTATTAAATGGTTTTTTCTTAAATATTCTATTTGAAGCAAAATCAACCATATTTGATTGTTTTTGATCAACTCCAAATATTTGGGTGTAATATGTCACATACTTTTTGACTGAATTCAAAAAGGAGGTATACACTTATCTGGTATGTTGTTTCGTGTTACGCGATATCTTTGTTAATTCTGAATTTACATTCATAATTCTTTTCTTATGAATGGCTTAGAGAATATTTCAAGGGTGTTCAAATAAGGCCTGAACAAATTTTAATAGAATCTGTTTGCTATAGGTAAATAAGAGTTTGTAATCGTTCAAGTAAAACCCAAGATAGATTTACTATACGTTCTAAAGGTCCTATATAAAGTATTCATGTTTAGAGATTACGAGCTAAATAGGAGCACTCAAGCAAGCGAAACCGTATGGAAAAGTTAGTTTATTGAAAAAAAGCAATAACTAATAATTAATATGCAAAATAACACTACGTGTTTGTACTTTATAAAAGTATGTTTGAGCAAAACGAAGTCACGGTCACAGTGGTGTAAAGGAAAACCATTGAGTATTCAAATAGCATTTAGGCACTCATTGAATGTTTCGAAATCATCAAAATGTATTGAATTCTATTATAAAGTACAACTGTGCTATATTTGTCCATTATGCCATACTTTAAAGGCTTAATTCTAACAAGTGTTATAGTCATGTAGACTGTCTGTCAGTCCTGTATTCAGCCCTTTCTAATGTCCCACTGCTGGGCTCGGACCTACCTTCAATACGAGGGAGATCAGGCCATAGTCCACCACGCTGGCCGAGTGTGGGCGGACTGAGCATATCTTTTGGAAAATTTGCTAGTTTCTCTCAGACATGCAGGTGTTGTAATGATTCGCACAAGAAAATATCAGAGGTTCGAGACCCGGGATTTGAACGCACGTTACTCGATTTCCCAAGCGAACGCGACACCACTGTGTTGTTAATACTATCAGTCCAATAGATAAAAAATAACATGCACTTTACATGACAAATGATAAAGGAACATATTCAAATGAACACTTTTATTACGGTTCTGTACCTAAAATATTCCTGCATTACTTAGAGATCCCTAGAATGTGTGTTCTCCTAGCCGATTCCGGCCACGGCGGCCAATCTCAATGAGATTAGCCAACTGCGCAGGAGATATTATAGTGCTCAAGTGTACGCGCAGACACAACGTGCACTCTCTATTCCTATCACTCTCATACTCCGGTGGGACGACCACTCGACACGTCCGGTGAGAGTGTCGGCGCAGGACCGACGGCTTTACGTGCTCTCCGAGGCACGGGGGTGAAACCCCGCCAACTTCCCAACTCCGGGCTGTTACTGAGACTTACTATACAGGAAGACTCAATAACTAAACTCGGCCCGACCCGGGACTCGAACCCAGGACCTCCGGTGTGCAGCCGTACATGCTAGCCACTACACCACCGAGGCAGTTAATCCCTAGAATAATACATGCATGTATATGGTCTTTTATTATTTTCTAACGTAATCCACATTTTAAAATTACCACTTTCTTAAATAGAATACACTTAAAAATTTCTTCAATAAAATTATTGCCGAAGGATATCGCGAAATAATCACAAAAAAAAACATACAGCTGAATTTAGTATCTCCTTTATTTAAAGTCGGATATTTTATTATGCGTATTTTTTAGGGATAAATAATTATTTTATTGAGATCTTTATAAAGTCGGTTTTATTTATTTTCAGAACCCAACCCCGTGTGTTTGCACAATACGGTGCGCCCATACCTAAAGTGCAAGCAAATCCGGAATACCCTACTACTGTAGCACCTCAAGAAGTAAGTCAATTTATATAAATTGGTATAATACTTTCTTAGATTTACACAAATATTTGACATTTTAAATAAGAATATCTTTTTGTATTTTTTCGCGGATTTATTTTGAGTTTTAGTTGCCGACGCAACGTTTCAAATTTGAATTCATTTTCTTATTTTGTGACTCGGCTGTCTGTAACAACTACGTGTATATAATGCCTTTGAGACATCTAAAACCTTATTCTCTCACGTGACCATGATTGCTGTAAAGCATTTGAAACGTCCGAAACCAAAAATCAAAATAAATCCGCGAAAAAAACCGAAAAGATAGTTTTACATAGGTATTACAACTATAAGTACAATATGAGTATTACAATCCATACAATATCACAGTTTACTAATCCATATAGTCGTCTAACGAAGGCGTCTAGACACTGCAATAGTGGACGCGTTCGAGGCGCTCCCGAGTTTCATACGTTTTTTTGTATGATAGTAGGGAAACGGCTTTAGGGTTGACGGGTATAAGTCTGGTTACAATTAAGGTACGTGATTAACTTAAAAAAGTTAACACTGAAAATAGGTATGCTTTGATAACACTTGCATTTATTTGGCAGTGATTCTATTAAAATTAAAGGCGATCTTCTACTGTAAGGATTTCATACTGTACCAATATTATAAACAAACAAAATCTCTTCAGTACAGTATTGGTAGTTTGAACAAATAAGCCCTAAGGTGATGATAAAGTCTATTTTTAAAGGAATAAAAATAAATCTAGATATTTTATTTCAGTCTGAAAGTGACGATGGGCCAGCCATAGCACAAGCGACTGCTGTAGCGACTGGTCGTAGAAATGCTAAATTAAGGTACGTGATTAACTATACATATATCAAAGTTATCCTAATGTAATAGTTCTATCAAAATAAGTTTAGATCTGCTTTGTTATTATTGATAAACAGATAATTACTCAAGTTTTACAATTAAAGGTCGATTTTAAAATTTTACGTATCATTTGGTAACTTGTGTAGATACGCTTTTATTTCATAGTGTAACTTTAAATTTAACAACAAAACTGAACCAAAAACTAACTAAACATTTTTATTTTCAAAATGGAAAAAGAATCGGTAAAAACCTAGATTATATAATAATTATTTTTAATTACAATACACACAGAGTTCAAAATCACTTCAAATGTTTTAATTTACTCTGAGTTTCTTGATTTATATATTTTCTTAAATTACATACTGGAGCGCCATTGAGGTGATTTATTAATAAAAAAAATTTCAAAATCACAACATACATACATACATTAGAAAGTAAATTCTTAAAGGCGGCCATAAATAAAAATAGTGATTTTCTTTATTCTATATACAATATACATATTATATATATTTGACGACACGATTGGCTCAGTTTGTAGTGACCCTACTTGCTGTGCCAACGGTCGCGGGTTCGAGTCCCGCTGGAGGCATTCATTTGTGTGATGAGCACGAATGTTTTTAATCCAGTCAGTATATATTTAAGTTATGTGTAGTGTATCAACTATCTGGTATCTATAACACAAGCCTCGTTCGTTTCTTACCATGGAACTAGATGTTGCTGTGTTTTAATGTCCCAACATATTATACATATATTTTATCCATTTTCTTTACAGAAGTCGTCGCGTCCGTCCTATCTTTACTTTAGATAGATCAGGTCACTTAGTACTGGCACAACAACAACAATAAACTGGTATAAAACTATAAACTAGTGAACTTAAAAAAACTGCATATATAAGCTGTTAGTGCAAAAGGGATCTAAACAATATAAAGAAAATCATCTTCAAAAATTAAAAAAAGTTTTTAGTATATAATATTTAAAGTTTGACAAATATATTCAAAATTATGTTTATTTATTTAATTAATCATGTTTCTTACTCTAAGTAATTCCTTATAACATCAGCCGTTTCGGAGATTAGCCAGAACAAAGAGACAGACAGACGAAAATTTTAAAAATTATGTTTTTCTTATAAGTACAGCGGTATACGGTATATAATTCGCATTTAGTAAAAAGCTGTTATATTGACATTACAAACAGACACATCAATTTTATTTACCTGTATAGATAATATGTATTTATACGACATTTAATGCATACAAAACCTTCTTTTTGAAGGAATTTATTTATATAATAGTATTGTGTATATTATTATTTTTTTTCCTTTTAATTGTATTTAAATATTATCTTTTGTAAAAGTATTAAATTTATACTATATATGATATTATACATACATACATTTACATTTATTTGTGTATGTCTCATATACATTTTTATATATTAATAGTTTTTGGGTCAATTCTGCGCAGACAGCTTAATATATGTAAAACCAATCAAAATAAAAATTCAATATTTATTATTTATTGACAGACAAAATAAAGAATTTAAATAATCACATATGTTTTTTTATTTAAATACTAATTTTAGCGCTCGGTTTTGAATCTATCTTGTATAATTATTTTTTAAATACACTTTAATTTGTACCACAGAATTATAAAACAAAAATTAATATGAAATATTATAATGAATTAAGAAATAAACTTCTTTCAACCTTTGTTGAGTGCGGAAATGTTTTTCAATTTTAAATATATTACTGTACTAGCTGACCCGATAGATACGTAGATAGGTGCTTAAAAAATCATTTCGATCTCGACAACAGCGCCATCCACCGGGTCTATAGTCTGATTTTTAATTCGGCGGAATTCTGACATTTCAGAAATGTTGTCAGCTTTAAAACATTGTCACTAAAAACGGAAAGCATTGTAGCAAAATAAAAAAATAAACCTTTCTTGAATTTAAGGTTTCAATTAGAAAGACTAAGACTTAAAAGATATTGATAACTATAAAATGGTAATTATTTTTTTATTATCATATTATTGAAGTTAGAATAATTATTAAGGAAATGATTTTTCTATTACAGGAATCCCTGTCCAATAATACATAGGTTGCAAGCCTTTTTTAGGAAAACCCCTTTGTTTGTAAAATCTTTGCAATTGGCAAAAAGAATTGGAAAGTCCCAAAAAGATAGGTCCACAACGATCGTTCACGATTTTTTATTATTGTTTTTGGCAAGAATGCATAAACCATATTATAAAAGAAAAGGATAAAATATGCCTTCTTTATGATCTGATGGATAGTGAGTGTGATTCTTTTATAATCCGAGTGGATGATGACGATAAGGATGATTGATATAAGTAATGATGATTAGTAAATATTTACATTTCTTATATTTTGTTTTACTCGGTTTTTTTATTTAACCATAAAAAAATACATTATAGTTTGTGTGCATTGAATGCACAAAACAAAGACTATTTACAATGTTATACATATAGTTTACTTGATCTAATTCTGTTTTATATTTTTTGTTATTTTATATTAAAAAAATACAAAGCAGAAAAGATTTGTGCCTGAATTGTCAAAGAATGACAGCTGTCATACTTACGTGGAATTAAAAATCAGACTATAGTTATAGTAAAAACCAATTAGGTGACAACTACAAAAACATATTAACAAAATCGGTCAAGCCATTTAGGAATAAAGAAGAATTATAAATACACGCACGCTGGAATTTTATGTACATATAAAGATTTACATATATGTTACGAGATTATTATATTAATAATATAAAACATAATGACAATCACCAAATTATTTTTAATATAACAAGGAAACTGTATATCAAAAACAAAGTGAAACAAAATAACGGCGCACTCACAATAACCAACATATTTTCTCTAATAAATCTAAAGGGAAGTGAAAAAAATCGGTATTTACTCAAGGTTCGATTTTTAAATCTCTCCATAGTAATCGAGTCCTGTCCCCTCACTATCGAAGTGCAAGGGATTGGTGGTTTTATTATTTCTAAACTATATTCATTTTTCTCCTTCGCGAGACATTTTAATTCTTTGTTATTTATTTTAATAAGTAATTCGTCGATTATTTCATTTTGAATCAAACGGCATTGTAAGTTTTCATCCAAAGATTTTGGATGACCTATTTCTATTTGATCTAATTCATAGATTTTTGGCTGGCTTTTGGTTTTTGGTTCTGAAATAGGACTAAAATGTTCGAATTTTGACACAACATCCTTAAGTTCATGTCTAATTTTCTCTATTAACGATTCTTCCATTCTTCTCATAGTTATATCTAGAAATTGCGCAATCTTTTCCCACAATTCCGTAACTGGTGCATAGTTGCGAGATTCCTCTGAGCATGTTTTCTTTTGTGACATTTCAGTTTCTGTTAAAATTTCCTTAATTGTATTTTCATTTGGTAAGATAATTATGTGAGGATTATTAGAATCGTCTGTGCTAAACGTTTTTTGGGTTACGTTTTTCGAGATTTTTCCATTGATTGTATCTTCTAATCTACTCATGTGTAATTTTTTATTTTTTCCTGTTACTATAACGTTGTTTAAATCATTACGTACATTAGCAGATTCGTTCCCCGGTGCCATGGGAAACATACCCATATTAATAATGGTATCTAATAAAGTTGGCTTTAAGTCTTGACTAGATATTACTACTGTAACAGGTTTTATTATATCATTCAGAGGTTCTCTCGCTAAAGTCTTGTCAGAATTACATTGTTCTTTGAAATATGAACTAGCTTTTGCTATAAAAAAGTTATCACTTTCACTGGCGAGAATAGATCCTCCTATGAGAGTTACACTGCTTTTTCTATCTTCTTTTAAAGTTATATTATTTAAATAAACTTCGCTATCTTCTTTTGAAGATTCAAGAAATGAAGTAGATGTAATAGTATCAGATTGACTTTCAAAACTTTCAGCGCTCGTTAAACTTTGTCGTAAAATTTGATGAGTTCCTGTTGCTGTTCGTTCGTTATTAAAATCGTTCGTTAATATAGATGCGTTATTAATTTGAGCAACTGCTACGTTCATAACATCTGTTTTATAAAGATTTGTTTTGTTTCCATGAGAGCTCTTAGACTTTAGTTCTCCATTTTCTTCAATTTGGATCACATTTGGAATACTTATTTGATCTATCAATGGAATTTCTATTACTGAATTAAAAGTCCTCGTATTATTATCATCGTTATTAGATGATTCACTGTTTTTACGTGTCAGTGTATCTTGGCTGGACCCACTTTCAGAAGATATTATGTCAGGTGTATGTTTATCTTCTAGTAAATTTTCTTTAGCCAAAACTTTTTTTAGTACTCTTGTACGAGAAACTGTTTTTGATAAAGAGTTAGAACAAAACAATCTGTGGAGCAGTTTCTGATTAGTGTAATTTGTTTTTTCATTTTTACAGCATGTCGTTAAGTTTTTATTTATGTTGCTTCCATGTCTTTTACGTTTTAAGTGCATTTTTTGTATACGAACTACACGAGTATATTTTTTCAATTTTCCACGTGACGAAGGTACAATATTTCTTTTCCTTTGAGATTTGTTGGAATTAGTTGCGTTAAATATAACTTCAGTTTGACTATTTAAAATGATTTTAGAATTGTCCTCTTTAATTAGAGTTGCTGCCGATTCTGATTTAATATCAAAATTATTTATTATAATAGGTATATTTTTATGGTTATCATAGCTATTTTTGGGGTATTTCATTTTAATATTTCTCTCGGACTTGTAAATTCTGAAACAAACAACTATAAAATAATATACTTATTATAATAATAATACATATATATTAATATTATAGGTAATAATTAGCAGTATTTTGCAATATGATATTTTACAACGTTATATTACGAAACTTTGGTTAAGAGAAAATATAAATGTCACTGATAATACTATCTCCATTTCTATTGAAATTCAAAATATTTTATTTAGCATTTAATTATTAAAATTTTTACTGGACGTCATGAGTATACCGCGAGTTCAGAAAGAAAAGCCAGGCCTGAGGAGAACTGGCAAAGGAAACTCAGCGGGACTAAAATTTAAAGCAGAACTTAAATTAAAATTAACTTTTTTTATATGTTAAAAGCTTTACTAGAGAAAAGCTAGTAAAATAAGGTTAGGGTGTGTTAAAAAATCTTGTAAGAAATAAAATAAACTTTCATACATTTAATGTATAGCAACGAACATTAAAATCCTAAATCATGTAAATTAAACGATGACTTCGATACTTTCGAAGCATAACCTGAAGGATAAAATTTACGAAATTGTCTTTTCTTTGATTGACTTGGATTTATCATTTCTTCGATCGCATAAACATAGAATAGCCACAGAAGTAATAACACTGGTATCCATAAAAGAATGCAGTATATCAAACCTTCCCAAAAATATAGTTTACGGTTTCTGATTTTAATTTTATTTTTACAAGATTTATCTATATCTATACAATATGATGAACTAGAATTATCGTCATCATAAAGTTGGCAAACATTATTTTCTGGTTGAAAATGTCCACTCGCACTACTGACATCACAGCAATCGTTCTGGTTATACTTAACATATACATGTGAAGGCTGTATATGATGACAAGTGTTTCTGCAAGGTATGGATATGTACGAAGGATTGTGATGTCTAGCGTGACAAGGATAAGTATTTATGAAATCGTCAAAATAAAACGCTAATAGCTTTTTTTCTGGTCCCACAGAAACTTCAAATAGAGATTTGGATTTTGGCAGAGAACATGTCAGTGCTTCATCTATAACTGTAGCTGTGTTCACCTCTGCAGCTGAAGTCATATCGGTTACTCTTAAAATAGACTCGCTATCTATAATTTTATAAGATGTGCTTTTTTTCGTAAGCCGTAGATTAAATTCCCTAGTGATCTTTGTCTTGGGCTCTTTTTTCAATTTTAACCCAGAAATGATTTGACTTTTAGGTATGTTATTTGAGAATTGTACACTCTTCGATATTTTTTCTTTTGTTAAGTTTCTTGCTTCAAGCTCCATTTTCTTGTCCATATGTTTATTTACTAGTTTTTCTGTTATTGTTGCTAATGACTGCACGATGATTTTAAGCTCGCTTATCTCACGAGCTACCTTTGAGCTTTTTAAGTTGCATTTTAGTGGTTTAGTTTCTTCTGTATTATCTTTTCCGGTTGTATTTGAAGTGCCTCTACTTATTATATATTTTGTTTGACTTGCTGCACCATCAAGTAAGGAAATAATATTTTGATCAATATCAAACGTTGCCTCTTTTGTTTCGTCAGTTGATAATTTTCCATTGTCGTCAGTTACTACAACTGTTTCCAGATCTGTAGTTTCATTTTTAAGTTTTTCTTTATCTATATCGAGTATGCTATTACTTAATTTTTTTTCTTGTGTGGGAGATATGTTGACTTTTATGTCTAGTTGAAAATTGTGTTTTCCTTCATAATTTGAAAAATACTTAAAAATACTCTGAAAATGTTGAAGCAACTCTTTTTCTTGTTGTATATAATTGTTTGATTTTTTGAATAAATGTGTGTATTGTTTAGATTTTATATTTTTATAATTTCGATATTTCGAAATTCGTTTTTTACAAACGTTACTTTTTTTTCTCTTTGTTTGAGGTGTCACTTTAGCTTTGATAAAATTTGAATTATGAAGTACTTTATTCTCTTTATCACTTCTTTCTGTGCTTCGTCTTATTAAATCGACATTTACTAAAGGATCAATGCTATTGTTTTCAGATATGCATAGTGATTCTTTCTTATTAAGCATTTTTGATTTATAATCTGATAAATTGTTGATGCCAGCAATATGTTTGTAAATATTAGAAATTATTTCCTTATTTATTTTCTCAATTGGAGACTTATTTTTCAAATTCTTACATTTATTTTCTTCGTATATTGCACAATGTTTAATTAATGAATTTGTTGGTAATGTCAGGAAATCTAAATTCGATGAATTAAAAACATAAACGCTGGAGTTATTTGTGGACAGTAAAATTCGCTTATGTCGGAATTTTTTAAGGCTTTTTGTCTTTCTTATTTTATGAATATTCTTTGGGAGGCTGAGTGTTGATATTATTTTTAAATGTTTATTACTCAATGGTATTGTTAATGTGGATTTTTTGTTTTTGACCTTTAAAGTTCTACTCCTTGGAGTTTTATGTACGTCTTGTAATTTATGTAATTGAGACTCTGATTCATGAAAATTTTGATCCATCTCAATATCAAGTGTATATGTATGTGAAGATGGTGTGTCATTTCTTTTCAAGTCAAGCTGATGTAATATAGAATCTAGTACTGTTTCAATTTTTTCTTTTGTTTCATTATTTTCTAATAGATACGTTCTAATCCAGTCGTTAAGTAAATTTTTGAGGTTATCAACAACCAACGAAGTTAAGTTGATATTGATATTAGTATTGTGTGGAAAGTTTTCTTCATTATCGCCACATGCACTTGTGTCGTTGTTATACTCATCGATAGTATCAATTTCGGTACGATTCATAGAATATTTTGATTTTTGCGAAGTTGCTTCACGATTCGTATTACGTTTCTTTTTATAGTAGGATCTAAGAATGCAGTAGTCGGTTTCAATGCTCAAATCTCGCTTCAGTGATCCATTGTCTTCATAATAGTTGTCTTTTGGCAAATTTTGTTTTAGTTGTAGTATCAAGCTTTTGGTGAAAAACTGTGATGCACCAGAGCATGTCTTAGAGTACGTGTGTATTGTATTATTTGAGTTTTTAAATATTACTTTAGCTGCATTCTCTTTCAACTCATAAATTTGTCTTTTTGTCATGTTGTCCCCGTATTGTTTCTTTTTCTTCTAATATTTTCCTTCAAGTCTTCTGCAATAAAAATATCAGTATTCTATTCAACTTTCCACAGATTTTTAATTTATCTATGTTTACAATACATTGAACTTTCATTTAGGATTTTAATGTTTGATGGTATCTAAAGTAAAACATGATCACTAAAACAATTATAGATAAGATCTATATTATAACTTACAATTTGTTGATCTAATCTATCATTTTCTGATTCACCACAATATAAAATGTTGGAAAAATTAAAATCACATGTTATAAAAATTTTGCATATTTCACGAATGTCAAGTGAATGTCATGAAGAGAATTATTTTAGCCAGTTATACTTATAGCAGCTCAGTGCTGGATTTATACTGGGGGCACTCCGAGCTAGCGCCCAGAGCGGCCAATTTTCAGGGGCGGCAAAATTCGGAGGGTGAGAAAAAAATATCTTCTCGCTATCGAAAGTCTTTTATTTAATTTCCAAAAAATGAATAATTAAAAAAAATGTAACTACTCAGTACATTTTTGAAAAAATTGAAAACATTTATAAATTATATTTTTGCATTTATATTAGGATTATGTATTATTTAAAAAATATAGAATTAATAAATAAAACTTTATGCATTTTATGCAAAATTTCGATAATGGCAAGGCAATGTTTACAGGGTCTAGGGGTGGCGCTAAGGCTGAATCCGGTACTGTAGCAGCTAAATAGACACTGGATCAAATATAATAAAGCAGAAGATATTTGTTATTTTGTATATTTGTTTGTTTGAATGCGCTAAAGTCTGGAAATAAAACACCAGTCAGCTTAGAAAAAATGTTAATGGATTTTAAAATTATTTAGTAAGAAAAGTTACATTCTATATAACATAACACAGGAGCAATAATATAAAACAATACGTTTAAAGCTATAGGCCAAAGCTAACCTAAATATAAGACCCAAAATATGTTCGTAGATCTACTCTTGGAATTTCCCGGCTGTCTTCTAATTTTAGGTAATTTGCCAAATCTTATAAAGTCGAGCTTACAACCAAGTAGTCTCTTATTATCAAATATATCTTAGTGATAAATGATAACATTACAACTTCGTTCCTTAGTCTTAACATACATAAGACAAGTGGCAATTTTATTATGACTTGTCTACGTTGTTCAAATGTACAGGTAAAAGTGATTAAGTGAAAGCTGAGCTTATTTTAAACTAGCGACTCACCCTCGCTTCGCTCGGGTTCGTCCCTAGGTTGCTTCCCAATACAAACTTAAATCTCCATTTTCACCCCTTTAAGGGATGATTTCCGGGATAACAAGTGTCCTATGTCCTTTCCAGGGTTTCAAACTATCTTTTCGACGACACGTTTGGCTCAGTGTGTAGTGACCCTACTTGCTTGCCAACGGTCGCGGGTTCGAGTACCGCTGGGTGCATTCATTGTGTGATGAGCACGAATGTTTGTACTCCAGTCATGGGTGTTTATATTTATAATATGTATGTATTTAAAGCTATTTATATGTAGTGTATCAACTATCTGGTATCCATAACACAAGCCTCGTAGCTTACCATGGAACTAGATGGTGCTGTGTGTTAATGTCCCAACATATTTACATATTTATTTACCAAATTTCATCTAAATCGGTTCATTAGATTCAGAGATTACCCCCTATAACGTCACAAGCTCACAAACTTTACCTCTTTATAATATTAGTATAGATGATAGTTCTACACTTACTCATATTATTAAAAGATTTTTTTTGTATGTGAAATGGTTTGACTCTTACTTCAATTTGTTTTTCGAGGTCCAAATACTGGATACCTTTGAAAGTGCTATGGAGGTAAAAACATAGTATATGTTCATGATCGATGTAGTTGCAAGAGTACCGAAAGATCAATAGGTTTAAAAAAAAAAGTAGCAAATAATCTATTTCACAGAGAATAATATACACTTATGTATGTAAAAGTCACACAAGTAATTATTTCACCTTCACGAGTGCAAAAAGTACTCTAACACCTGCAGGTAAATTTCTAAGAAACTAATTAAATTTCTAAGAAACCTATTGTTAACTGTAACGCCAGCGTGTCCGCGGTCGATGGCGGATTAACGCGTGATATATAGGCATACCTATTGATATAAAAGTCTATTTTGTGAGATACTCTATTGATTAAGAAAAGAATTACGAAAATCGATTGATAATTGGTGATATCGTGTAACGATACCAATTTAGAGAGTGGAAAGTTACGCGATAGAAGCTAAACAATATTATAAAATACTATACCAATATTTGAAGTATTTATTAAATATTATATAATACTAGCAGAACCCGCGGCTTCGCCCGCGCTAAAACTACAAAGTAATCTCTAAAAAGATAGGCACCTAAGATCTAAGATTTATACAAACTTTCATCGTCTATTTTACCCCCCTATAGGATGAATTTTGAAAAATGCTAAAACACGTATTTATTTGTGTTGAAGATCATTAATACCAAGTTTCAAGAAATTCTGATCAGAAATAAATTTTTGTATTGTATTATAACTTGTTTTCCCGTGGGAATGAGATAATCTTCCGCGATAAAAAGTATCCTATATCACTCTCCAACTCTCCAACTATCTTCACACCAAAAATCACGCCAATCCGTCACACCGTTTCGACGTGAAAGAAAGACAAACAAACAAACACACTTTTATAACGTATGGTTCACATAGCTGAAATAAAAAAAATGAATTTTCAAAAAATGAAAATTCCTTCAGTCTAAATAGATAAAATGATAAAACACCTAAATAAAAAGACAAATAGACATTTAAATATAAATCAAATACAAGCAAACCCTTGAGTAAAACTGGTTTTAGTTTTATTATTATAACAAAAATATAACATTACTTTATGGGATATAACCGATAATATAAGAGGAAGTTGTTCTAATTAGGTCAAGTGGTATACAGCTTTAGTAATGTTATTAGGTAAGTAGAGCGAACGATAAGAAACAGAGAGCAAAGATTTTTTATAAACTTCTTATGAATTTTGTTACTTCCCGTTTGTTTTTCTCCTCCGAAAACTATAAAATAAACTTGCGATGCGCTTTTACTATGATTTCTGATTTTTCCCTCTTGATAGGTTTATATAGAACATATTAGATAGGTTCTCGTCTATAAAATCTTATATAATCCAGTATATTTCTTTATTATAGGAAGTAACAAACGCATACACAATATATGTGGTGTGTAAAATATAGTAGTGATAATATACTCGTATATATTTGTTTATTCGGTCAAATAAAAAATCTATACCTATATAATATCAAAATATTTTTTAAACATTTTATTTATAAAGTGGTTCAGAATTTACCTACTTTAATATTATAAAGAGGTTATATAAATTTTACCTTAGACTGTAGGGGGGTAATCTTCATCTAGGCAGTGGTAGCCTACTGTTACCACACTTGCTGATATTTTCATGCGTGAATCATTTTTCAGCAGTACGCCAATCCGCACTTGGCCAGCGTGGTACATTATAACATGATCCCCCTCGTTTTGGAGGGACATCTGTGCCTAGCTGGGACGTTAAAAAGGGTTGAATATAATTAGTTAGACACCTAGGCAGGCACCCAAGTAGGTACCCAAGCAAAGCCAGGGTAGGTTCGGTGTCCAATATATTAAACTACCTATTTATAGATATTACTATTAGCGTAAAATATACTATTTTTATAAGAAATGACATTTGCATAGCTGTATAGAGTATAACTTCAACTAAAACAAAAGGGTAAAAATCAAATAAAATATTTGCAAATAAGGAAATACAGTACCAAAATTACACTCAACAATTATATCTTTATTAGGTAAATTGGAAAGTATCCAGAAATATAGCGATTTGTATTTATTTTATTTAGCAAATAATGCATTCAGTGCATATTATTTTGTTGAATTTTATTCCTTGTGTGTGCGCAAATGGTTTTCTGTTGCTGTATCGACCTAAAGACATAACCAGTGAATGTGCGTTCTCTAGACGTCTCCGCTACGATATATCCTATGGGATGGGAATGTCTGATACTCTTACCCTGGTAATATCTACAAATATATAAATAGGATAAGACTAAAAAGTTCTGTCACATTTTCTCTTCCTGTCTCCTTCTTCCTTCCTCTGACTTATTCTGTTTGTCAACCGTTTTTTCTGTTTAGTAAAGCTACTAAATTAGCTCTAATGTTAAGTGTTATAAAAAAAATCGATTGTTTTCTTTATATAAATAGGTAAATTTTGTTCATATATTTTCCTCAAATTTTCTAATTCTCTTACTAAATACTAATATTATTAAAAAAAACTGCTTCGGTGGCGTACTGGCTAGCATGTACGGCTGCACACCTGGAGATCCTGGGTTCGAGTCCCGGGTCGGGCCAAGTTTAGTTATTGAGTCTTTCTGTTTAGAAAGTGTCAGTAACAGCCCGGAGTTTGGAAGTTGGCGGTGTTTCACCCCCGTGCCTCGGAGAGCACGTAACTGCGCCTTAACTCTCACTCGTCGTGTCGTCGTGTCGAGTACTCGTTCATACTTCATACTCATGAGTGACAGGAATAGAGAGTGCACTTGTGTCTGCGCGTACACTTGTGCACTATAATATCTCCTGCGCAGTTGGCTAGTCTCAATGAGATAGGCCGCCGTGGCCTAAATCAGTCAGGTCTTATTATTATTATTATTATTTTCAGATTTTTCGCACATTAAACGACATAGACTACGAATGTGTGGTCGAGATTGTTACAACTTTTAACCAATACTTGTTGGTAGTCGTCAGATATCCGACCACTATAGCACTGAACTGCGCAGTTAACAGAGACGCTATAACTGTCCTGAAGCGATGGAGATGCTCGAGGCTCTGTGATTTGATAGAACGGGACGTATATTCTCCATATTTAATATTTAGTTTGAAGAATCGATTACGTTTCCTATTTAAAAGTAATAGCAGTATTAATTCTGATATCAATGTAAGATCTATTTGTTATTAGCCCTTTTTAACGTCCCACTGCTGGGTACAGGTCATTCAATACGAGGGGGATCAGGCCTTAGTCCACCTTGCTGGCCAAGTACGGGTTGACGGACTTGACATATCTTTCCAAAACTTGTTAGGTTTTCTCTGACATGCAGTTTTCCTTACGATGTTTTCTTTTACCGTAAGACAAGCGGTAATCATGACGGTAATTAAATTATCAATTTGAATGTGCGAATACACATGAAAATATCAGAAGTGCACGACCCGGGATTTGAACCCACTTCAATCGGTTTTCCAAGCGAGCGTGTTGTCACTGGGCTACTAATACTACTGGGCTGGGTTTCTAATATTTATAAGACGACATTATGTAAATAAGGAGGTGAAGTAGAGCTTTTGAATTATTAGATTGCTCTAAATGAAACTTTTAAGTTAAGGAAATTATTAAGTACAAGCGAAATAAAGTTACATTTTGCATTTAAAGCTACTCTATTTTCTAAAATAAATCTGCTCTGGAATTTAGATTTTTAGCTATATGTTATTAAAATGTTTACTTCAATAAAGTCACTTGGTTATTGACTTCATTAAGAATTTAATTTGTTGGTTTGGTTCAGACATACATAGATACCATTCATATGAATAGCTACCTACTGCAATAAAACCTACTGCATTTTTAGTAATGTTATTTTACCACTCAACTTCGTCAAAATTAAAAAAAAAATACATTTTAAGGCTGACTTTTACCAAATCACTATAACATCAGCGCGAGTCGCTCCTCCAAATGGATGTAATAGAAGGAATGAAACTTTATGCAGCATCGAAGAAAGGCATTTTTGCTTCACCACTGGCGTTGTTTGTGACGGAATAAAAAACTGTGGAGTCGATGATTGGTATTAATTTTTTTGTTATTTTCTTTTGAAAATATATTTTGTCTAATATCAAGACTTACGAGTTCGATATTTGTATGAATATAATATCTATACTAATATTATAAAGAGATAAACTTTGTGAATTGTGAGTTTGTGACGTTGTAGGGGTAATCTCTGGATCTACTGAATCGATTTAGATGAAATTTGATAAGAAAATAGTTTGAGACCCTGGCAAGGACGTAGGATACTTTTTATCCCGGAAATCATACCTTAAGGGTGTGAAAACGGGGATGAAAGTTTGTATGGGGAACTAACCTAGGGACGAACCCGAGCGAAGCGAGGGTGAGTTGCTAGTATAATATATACCGAAAAATTGCCGATAAACTTTACAATGCCAACCATACCAGGAGTTAATTATTATAAGCTTATTAATTTATAATAAATTGACTATTATTAACTTATTATGTTATAATTTTTTATATTTACATAAAATATATTACCATTTTAGTAAGATATTGTAAGATAAACATCAAAACACGAACTAAAACCTGGCTTAAATCGGTTAAAGAAGTTAAAAAATACGAAAACATATCAGAGTAAAGAGTGTAGTAGCTGAAAGAACCCTATGTAAAAACTAGGTAGTGGCCCGAGACGTAGTTCTTATTTATAGTGTAACTGAAGCTCTCAGTAGAAAGCGGGAAAATATCTCATCTCTGAGAAATGTATACTTACTTAAGTTTTATAACGGTTAAAACATAACTAGTGAACCCGACCGGAACGAGAGTGAGTTACTAGTTTGTAATATGTAGTGATTTTATACACTGAATCTTACAAGAAATGTTTCTAGGTTCGACGAAAGAAAATCAAAATGCAATCTTCCTGTGGAGAGATTGGGCTATGCCCCAGTCATAGCCGTGATGGCGGCTCTGCTTTGTGCTTTCGTTGCGGGGGGTCACACGCTCTTGCGTTGTTTACCGTCTCCTGCCCAATCGTTCTTCATATTCAACGCTAATGAGGACAACCGTCTGTGTATCGATCCCTTATTGGCGCCTAAAGAACATGCTCCGGATATAGATCATTTCCCTCGAGTATCTGTTATACCGGTAACTAAAGGAAATATGAAGAAATTGATTATATTTTAGGTTTTCTTTATGATCATATTCTCCTGGCCGGATACCTGTCGGTCAAGACTGATCTCATTCTAACTTTATTTGCAACGGACATACTTACGTGCATTCCCATAATCTCTATATGATTAGAGAACAAATATAGCCTGATAGCTGAGAAAACTTTTTTTTTTAACGTTGGGATGGGAACATTTACGCACGACGTGTGGGACTCACAGGCGTAATAAAGCCAGTACTACCCACTAAAACCCAACAAAACCTTCCCCCGTCTTAATGGGGCGTCGCAGGATCGCTTACGCATTCAACTACGACGCCCCGACGGCAGATCTGCCGAAGCAAACCACCACAACCATGGGGTTGCTCCAAGGTCCACTCTGCTATCAGAGAAGTACCAGGAGCAACCCACATGGTACACCGCCCACCGAAGAGGGCCACCTCCCACCGCCCACCGAAGTGGGCCCCCTCCCTGTGCGTAAATAACGTAACACGCATTTACACTACCTGGAACTTGGACCTAGGATATTATGTCCTGTATATATTGAAGCCACCAGACTAGCAACACCACAGATTCGATTTGTATAGGGTTATAGTATTTATGGTGTGAGATTATGAACATCTTGAAAGGCTTCTTCCGTACATAATATTGTTTCAGAAGTATAAACATTTACAATTAATCTTATTTTTAATATACAAAGACATATTTACATATGTATAGGTATATGTAGTATGTACATATGTATGTGTAAAATATTAATAATTTATCATATCAGTAGCATCTTTGTGTATAATCTTCAAGATAAGCTCTCTTTCTATAAATGAAAGTCTTTTGAAAGTTCCTACAGTAGTTACTGTGATTTGTTCAAACAAACAAACTCTGTGCGGCGGGGAGTTTAATTTTAAATTGAAAAGTATACATATATTATGAGAAGCTCAAATATACATGTACTAATAGTTCCTGGGCGACCAAGCTCCGCTTGGTGTTTTTTCGGGAAAGATATAAAAATTGCGTTTATTCAGAAAAGACAACTATATAGATAAACTTAAAAAGCAACACCTTATCTACATACAAAATTATGATCCAAATCGTTACAGCCGTTTCCGAGATACAAGTAATAATTAATATACTTGTACACAGGGTCATTTTTAAGTTACTGAAGACCTTTTGGGAATATACTATTTATATATTAACAACATCACGACACGCCGGCGTTACAGTTAACAATAGATTTCTTATAAATTTAATTAATTTCTTAGAAATTTACCTGGAGGTGTAGAATTTTTTTTTCTTACAGATGTTGTTGTTATTATGTAAATAGTATATTCCCAAAAGGTCTTCAGTAAATTAAAAATGACCCTGTATACTGGAACTGCTTATTTAATATTATAAGATTTTAGGTAAGTTTATCTTCTTCGAGTGAAAATGAAGAAGAAAATTCTCAAGTTATTAAAATGCACAGACTACACAGAGAAGGAGAAAGTAGTTCAAGGGATAAAGAACTAATGTCTGAATCCGATGCACCTTCAAGTAGTCGAATGGTAAATAAAAATATACTCGCTTCTTATTTACTTCACAGTCAATAAGAGAGGCCCTCATTTTATATAAATCTATACATATAATAAAATTCCAACTGAGTCGAATGTGTACATTAAATATTTTTTGGAAAATATTATTGAAATAGACATTATTATCAATACAGAGGCCGAATCTATAGTTTTTAGAATTTTTGTCTGTCTGTCTGTGACCGCATCACGAGTAAACCACTGAACAGATTTTGATGAAATTTGGTATGATGATAGCTGGTTATCCGGGATATATAGGATACTTTTTACTGTGGCAAAATATCTCATCTCTGAGAAATATATACTAAACGTAAAATAAATATGTAATAAAGGAAGGAGCAAATACAAATAGATCTTAGCAAATATTTAAACTCATAATTTTGAGATATTTTATGTGCAAAACTATCGACTTATCCTAATTTCGCTTGGCTGCTTCCTCTAGTATGAATAGCATAAAGACGTGTAAAGTACAAATATATTACGAAAAATCGTCTTTTTTTGGTTCAGGAACCTTTGCGAGCTTACGCAAAACCAATCGCCAAAGTTTCATCACAATCGGACAAATGGTTTTATGGCGTTAAATGATATTTACATCGTTTTTGACAGAATTAAAAACAGGTAACTTTCTGAGGATATGTGTTTGTGTCAGAATGTTACGCCAATATTTTTGCCAATTATTAAAAATTGGCTTTTTATTAAATAGATTTTTATTCTCAAGTCCCATGTAAATATTACATGAAAAAGTTCCGCCTCTAAAGATTAAAATTACAACCGCCCTAGTCGCAGATTTCGTCGTGAAAAACATGGTAAAAATCTCGTTTCTCGTTATGAAAATAATTTGAGTCCAAACACTACCTTCTACTACGAGAGAACATATTTTACTTGCTTTTAGCTGCAATTGTTTCCTATTTGTTCTCGTGGCAATTATGAATTCTACTTTATACAGAACTACACCATATTTGAACCATATAATAAAGAAGCAAAGCTATATTAGAACAATTAGTTGTACAAAAGTTTCCATGGAATTTTTCTTTAGAACTCCATTAAAGTTTTCAAATTTAAAACTTTTAAAGCTACTAAAGACATTTAAGGATATATATTTTCAGGAAATCCCCGAACCAGAAAGGAAGAATACAGTAAGATCACTGACAGAAAAGTTACAGGGTAGGTTTAAGTTTGTGACTAAATATGCTTCAAAGAAAAGTACATACGAGAAAAACGCAAAAACGTTTGATCTGTAATAATAAAATATTAGACGTATTAAATTATGTATTATACGTACACTTCTTTCTTTACCAACACTTTTGATATAAAGATCCCTAATATGATTCACAGATACCATAATAAATAGCCACTGAGCTCTTCGACCTTTACGCGTTTTTTTTCGGGAAAGATATAAAAATTGCGTTTTTAGATAAACTTAAAAGGCAAAACCGTCTAAATACAAAATTTGAGATTCCCGAGATACACGAAATATAATATAGAAAATTCTCGTGTCACAGTGTTTGTAAAAAAATTCTTCGATCAAATTGTGTATATATTCAGTAGGTCTAAAATGGGATGCAAGCTATTTTTCATACCTCTAAATGATAAGGGTGGTCCACCCAAAAACAAATTTTTAATTTTTGGACACACATTTTTATTTTTATTTTTTTATGATTCGGCATTAAAATACATACAAACCTAAATTTTTACCCTTCTACCACCAACCCCTATTTTTTATAGCGATATGTAGTACTTACATTATTTTCTACTCTCGGAACGTTAAAACGTAACTAGGGACGAACCCGAGCGGAGCGAGGATGAATCGCTAGTAAATTTATATACATATATACGTATACAAGGATTGCTCATTTAATATTGTAAGTCTAAGATATTACGTACAAAACTCAAACCAATTCCTTATAATAATTTAAAAATATAACCATAGTAAAAAAAATGAAAATGGTATCTTCCGGCCAATAACATCGTCTCATTCACTCATTGACTAAACTCTGATATCTCGAAAACTATTTGACATATAAAACTGAAAGTAAAACTTACATAGTTTGTTACGTAATGAATTTTGTAACATGGCCGAATTAACAATGTTATCGTAAGTTAATTTCAAATATTATAAGGATAGCCAAATAACAGAAAACACAATTTCAATTTATATAAACACATTTTCATCTTGAAAGTAGCGTAATAACACAAAAATAAAAAAAATCATAGTATCGCAGTGCTTCTGTGGTTAATAAGTACTAAGAAATGTCGCTTGGAATGGAAATTTTTAATTAAACAGAATCTAATCTTCGCCATCTGCCTCGTCTTCTTCCTCCTCGACTTGTTCTACAACTTCAGTGGGCTGTAATTAAGTTTAATATACTGAGAAAAGTATAAAAAATTTCTTATATAGCAATTTAAATTTACATACTTTTCTGTATGACTGCTTTTATTATTATGATTTAAATATTATATTAATCTAATCCATAGCTATCAACATATATAAATAAAAATCTAAATGTCTATTTGTGGAAACTTGCTAATCTCTGAAAATTCTTCAATAGCTTTGTAATTTTGAAATACGAGTAAGTGTTCTTATGTGTAAAAAGTTTTAATGCTTTTTATTTTCATATAACTGGCCATTTGGTCGCGCTATAGTACCGTATTGTGTAACTTAGACATCGTTTAAGCATTCGCTATAAAAATTGGTACAGGTTGCGTCATTTTGCGTAAGCTGGAATTTGGATGTAAGTTGGCGAGGAGAAAGATACTTACCTATACTTACATACATATATTTTGATATGGACAATATTTTACGCTGCGTTTAAAAAAGCCCTATTTGCCTTAACGCTGCCTTGGTGTGGAGGAGCAGAAGAAATTTTTGTAGGAACATTATTAGCATGTATGTGAGTGATGTAGAGAAAACTAAGGAAATTCAAGCCCGATGATAGACTCAGACTTGAATTATGATGAAAACACGTTCAAGAAAAAAAAGCATATAATGCTACTATAACGTTGGGATGCAGGAAGTAAAACGTTTCTAATGTACAAATGAATTCGTGCCTGAAATCATTTTTTTTCGCAATTTCCACCATTTTAACACGTCACTTTGTTGAGATCGAGTAGGGATTTTTATTCGCGACATCCATTTAAACACGCTGTGCCGAAACTGTGGGTTATTAACTCAGACTAAAGAATAATATAGACGGAGTGTGGTAAAAAAATGTCATAGTCAAAAACAGTAGCTTATTTTGCTGTTTACGCTACTATTCTCGATTTTGCCATACAGATCGTTTACTTTCTTTAAATAAGAAGATAAGGAAAATTTTATATATGTAGGTATTATTGCCCTTTATTTTACAATTTAAAAAATATATATTTATAAACTATTTGCCAGATTAAAATTAAATAAATACAACTGTATGTAATGACTATAGATAAAATAAAACAAAAAACTTATATTTATTTAGCTAAAAGATATCTACTAGCAAAACTAACTATAAAAATATCTTCACGTAATATAGGACAGATATCACAGTCCCGAATTTTACAAACGAAATCCAAAACGAACTAAGTGCCAAAATCACTGTATAACATCAAATTTCTTCCAAAGCATAATAACCATTTTCCACGCTAAAAATAAAAATGTAAGGCATTCGCGTTAAAGTAGTAAAATTTAACAATAACTACCTCTGGTTCCGCTTCATGTTCCGCGACAACTTCCTGCAATTATGGTACTTACGTACAGTGGCCATTGTTACTAAACTACTTTTGAACACTGAATTTCGCTATGTTTGGTGCAAAATAATAGTACAATTTCTTGAAATTCGCTCGTTTTTCGTAAATGAGCAACGTCTAGTTTTTCTCTAAACAAATTTTCTTGCAGGAGAAGCTTGGAATGTTATTTTATACTAGCATTGCCCGCGGCTCCGCCCGCGTTCAGATTACCAAAAACCAAATTCTTAGGTTTTACATATTAGTATACTCTTACATTGCAGTTTTGTATTTTTTCTCAGAAATAAGACATTTTCCCGCAAAACAAAGTATCCTATATGTTAATCCGGATACCAGCTATCATCGTACTAAATTTCATCAAAATCCCTCCAGTGGTTTCTCCGTGATGCGGTAACAGACAGACAGACAGACAAAACTATAGATTCGGCCCCTGTATTGATAATAATGTCTATTTCAATAACATTTTCCAAAAAATATTTAATGTATAGATTCGGCTTAGTTACAATTTTATTATTTATATAATGATACATGTAGTTCTTGATATAACAAACAAATTAACACCTCCAGGTAAATTTCTAAGAAATTAATTAAATTTCTAAGAAATCTATTGTTAACTGTAACGCCAGCGTGTCCGCGGTCGTGGAGGGATTAAATACACAACAAATAAAACTGTAAACGCTATTTACTAGGTTATAGTTTTTATATGTCTTCGACCTGAGAGCCACACACAGATACATAAGAGTAAAAATTGTATTATGGCAGCAACAAATAGACAGACAAGGCAAAATACGGACAATTATTATTAAGATTTTTATTCTTAACAAAACGCCTAACAAGCAAAAATTAAAGAGAGATTCACTCTCTCATTTAAGTAGAGATCGAGTATTCGTAAAACATATAAAAAGCTTGAAGTTATCTTAAAATATACACAAAAATGTCAAAATACATTACAAAATATCACATTTCATAATTATCAGCATCATCATCAAAATCCATCCAGTAGTTCTTGTGTGAAAGAGTAATAAACATACATACATACATACATACAACCTCATATTTTCAAGTTTATAATATTGGTAGGATAACCTGTAACTCCTCCTCTTGAACACTATCTTCGTCTTCATAGTCATCACCGTAGCCGACTGGGAAAAGTGTCAAACAGTCCCTTTCTCCACAAGTCACATCGTGGCTGATGTAGCACGGGTTCAATCCCGCTAGTTGCAAAAGCGGCAAGCTCCGTTTTCTAGACACCATTAGTGCTAGACGATCTTTGCTGATGTAGAAAAGGTTAACTTCAGAAAATATAATATAAAAATATATTTAAAGACAATAAAAATATGTAATATATTTAAAAAAAATGCTTAAGAATTTAGAGTTTTGATTTAAATAAAATTATTTTACCAACAATAAACAAATGCTTTTAAATATTAATATACTGATTTAAAAATGGCCTTAAATGTACTTAACGTTACATGTAACTTACTGTCTCCTTGTCCTTGACATCATATTGTATTGCTTTATAGTATATGCTAGATGCTCAGCTGTATTTGGATCGTCACCAATGAAAATTCCATACTAAAATAATAATTTGTAATAAGTTATTTATTTTTGCTTCATAAAGAACTAGTTTATCAATGCTTGGTAAAATATAAGTTTAACAAATAGTAATGTAAGCTATTATAATTTTCTAAATAATATTATCAGTTAACTGTATCTAAATGAACATGTGGTTAGAGGGTGTTGATTCGATTTCCGTGGAAGACATATTTTATACTGAGGACATATATTTGTACCAGGGATGATAACAGAAAATGATGGTAAGTAGTCGCGATGTTCGTTGTATTCTTTCATGTAAAATGCGTGAATTAATGAAAATGAATAAAAAGGTCCTCTAGTGTTAACAAGTTACAGAATTTATCCATAATATCGAATTTAATATTGCACTAATTGAATCTAAGAGACGCAAAACTTAAACTTTACAATATGTAAAAAAATCTATCCATTTCTATTAATCCGTCTGATATCTAAAAATCCGTCTTTTAAATAAACGAAAATATACAAAAAGAAAATAGTTTTATTTAGAAATAGAATATTATAACACATAATACTGCTGTCATAATAAAGAAGGCCGTAATTAACAATTTGGTCAAAAATGACTTAAATACTACGTGATACATTTACTCATAAAGCTCTATGTCTTCTGAATCCGGTCATACCATAACCATTTTCATCGTAATTACGTATGATGATGATGATGATGTTCTCCTGACCGATTCCGGCCACGGCGGCCAATCTCATTGAGACTAGCCAACTGCGCAGGATATATTATAGTGCAGCGCGTGTACGCGCAGACACAACGTGCACTCTCTATTCATGTCACTCTCATACTCCGGTGGGACGACTGCTCGACGCGATCAGTGAGAGTTAAGGCGTAACTACGTATAAACTACTACTAAGTACTAAGACAAAAATTAAAACATCTCGAAATCGACTTTGACGAAATTGCGGCCTTCTTTATTATGACGACAGAATAACAAACAAGACTTACATTAAGCACTTCACCTGGAAATTGTTCAATCACCTGCTTAACCTCATGACGCTTGTCGATAGTGAACATCACAAGTACATGAGGAGGAAGATATTCAGATTCTATTTGTGTTATTTTTGACACCACCTTTGAATAAAAGAAGTCTTAAAAATCAATATAAAACAAACTAAATATAAGACAGACGTAGTAAGTTTGTTTTATTAAAAATGTTATTAGACAATACCAATAATTATTTTAAAAACTAGTCAAATTAAGCAAGTTTAAATATGTTAATTAAAAGTACTCATATATTTTGAAAAACTTACACAGACAATAAAAATGTTAATTTTGAACAATTGTCAGAAATAAATAAAAATTTCAACATTAGAGCAAATAAAACTTTTATGCGGGGTCGTAAACTTAAGATCATTTACCAGCTGGTGCTCAGCATAAATTTTTAACCACGTTAATTTATTATGCACAAACTATTTTCAAGAACTCAAATTATATTTCGTTTTTGTTTTTATTTTCGTTTTCAGCCATTTTTTAACGTCCCACTGCTGGAGGTGGGCCTCCCTTCAATACGAGGGGGGTCAGGCCGTAGTCCACCATGTTGAAGTGAGTTGACGGACTTCACATGTCTTTCGAAAACTTCATAGGTTCTCTCAGACTGTTGGAAATGATTCGCACATGAAAATATCAAGAGGTACGAGACCTAGGATTTGAACCCGCTTCACTCGGTTCACCCAAGGGAGCATATTATCACTGGGTTACCACTGCCTTAATACACTTTTGATACATGTTCTTGCTAGATTGCAATTCCATGTCATAGGTTTTCATGTACCTTGATTTCAGGTAGAAGTTGATAATTTTGAAATGATGCCTACAACTCAAAATGTTATAATAACTTAAATTGTACGTGCTGAATATAAATATATTTAGAGGTTCTAGAATATTAAATACTATGGTCTAGCCGTGGCTCCGCTTGTATTTATATATGTACAATTTTTGTAGCGTGATATTTTAGGCTATCATATCAACATTCCTCAAAAACTATCACATACATTTTTCAAATGCAACTGTTCCAAATATAAGCGCACTCCAACATAAAAAAAACTAATTATCTTTATACTATTAGTATCGATTAAACCTAGTTTGAGTTAATTAATAAATAAAAAAAGTTATATTTGAGTTTCAGTTCCATGATATTTGACTATTAACAAAAAAAAATCTCACTATCACGTTTACATTAATGGTAATGTTTTTAATTGCTTTGTATAGATAAATATATAGATTTTTAACTAATAACAATATAAAATTAATAATTTTCGACATATTCGTTTACCTTAGGATAAAAGTAGGCTAATCCATTAGCTTTAGCAAGTTCATTTGGCGGTGTATAAAGACCTGGTACGAGGAGACCACCAGGCGGGATGTATTCTTCGTCTTCTATAGATACATCTGAGTGAAATTCTTCTTCTGCTTCTACTTGTTCTTCTTCTACTTTTTCTTGCTGAAGTTAGATATATATATATTTTAAATATACTGTAATGTAGTTTAGTAAAACTTATTTTAGACTCTTATAATTTAAACTCACTGATAAATTTTAATATTTAGATAAGCATGAGATCAGATTCAGATTGATTTATATATAATTTATTATTACGTAGATGCCACATACTTCATCAGTAGCTTCCGTCTCAGCTTTTTCTATTTCTTCTTCTTCAACTGCTTCTTTACCGGCTTCAGGTTCTGGTTCAGCTGGTAACTAGATGTGAAAAAATAAAATAAAAAAGAAGATATTAAAAAGAAAGTAAGAAAACATCAGTCAACACCAATTTGGTGTGATATTTGGCGAGCAGACTATTCCTATTCCTTCTGCGAGATAGAGATATTAGTATAATTAATTTCAATAAGAGCAAATTATTATCAGCTATCTTTAAAAAACAAGATGATCAAATATGCCATAAAATTTAAATATCATAATATTTAAAATTTTTAATTAGTAATTACTTTTTAATTAAAAATGTATACTTTCCTGACAATAATTTAGATGAAAAATTGTTCATATGAAACATTCATCTAGATTAAATCTTCATTAAGAAAATAATTATCAAAATTGACCAACAATTGGGAAAGATATCACTTAACAAACACACAAGCAAAAAACATACAACTTAACTTCTTCCTTTTTGAAGTCGGTCAAAAATACAATATTACCCCTGCTTGTATGCGCGCCATTCTCTCTTCTTCTTGTCTCTGCTTTTCCTGCCTTTGTCTTTCTTCTTCAACTTCTCGAGCGAGACGCGCTTGTTCGGCCGCAAGTCTTTCACGCTCTTCTTTTTCTTCACGCTAGAAAAAAAGTAATTGAAACGTGCCAATTTCTTGTATTATCACTACATATTCAAAGTTCAAGTTAAAATGAGTTTGGGTTTGTTTGGATTAATTTTAGAAATTATGGTTCTCCATATTATGGTTTTTACCAAAAGTTTTTTTTTGACTTTTGGTATACTCTAAGAAGTCTATGATTTGAATATTTTGGGAAAATAGACTACGAGTAGGTACAATGATTTTGTAAATTTAGCCAGAAAAAATCTTTTCCAAGACATTTCGTAACATTATAAGTACGAAGATGCTCATCATCATTAAATCAAATTATGCTAATAATAATATGCTTCAGTTATATCAATTATTGTGCAGGCATAAACAGTTTACTTATAATATTTTGGACTCAGAATAGCACGTTCAATTCACTGTCACGATAAACCTTCAATAGTTTGGACAGTATATTTGGCAAGAATTGCTTGCCAAGATTTTCATGTGAATTTTTACTGTTCGCATATAATGCATAACTTTTCAATTTTTGAATTCGCCATTGGTTGTATATATAAAAATTGTCAATTTTAAAGCAATATTCTGTTACTGCAAAAGTAATCCTTAACATTTTATTTAACAATAACAATGGTGCTTCATATTTTATATAATAAGTATATCTTTATTTATATTTAAATATATAAGTGTTCGAGGCAGGGCTCCGAGCCTGTTTAAAAAAACAGTTTGAGGTCAATGACCACAACCGGTTTAAAAATTGAACGGTCTTCTGAGCCCTGGTTAGGGGTGACGGTTGAGTGACAAAGTTGCTAAATAGTTTCACCCTAACAAGGTTCTATACAAAAGTTTTTTAACAAAATTTATCTCCATCATAGAACTTGAGAAAATTATCTTGCAACAAGAAGAAAGTTTTAGGTCTGTAGCTTGTAAAGTTAAATTAAAATAAGACCTAGATAGAAACTTGTAATGGAAAATTTTAGATGTTTTTCAAAATATATTTATATTTAGATGTTTTTCAAGATATAATAATCGTTTCATCCCATTAATATTATAAATGTGGAAGTTTGGACGTATGCTTGTTGCTCAATCACGCCAAAACGGCTAAACGGATCTGGATGAAATTTAGCACAGAGATAGATCATAGTCTGGAATGTGTGTCTAGAACCTATGTGCTTTAGGCTACTTTTATTCCGGAAAAATGTACGGTTACAGTGGGATACATTTGTTTTTGTTTTTCACTAGGAACGAACCTGAGGGAAGCGAGAGTAGTTAGTATTTAATAAAATAAAACATATAATGAGTTCGCCAGTGAGGTAGTGGTAGCCCAGTGCTAACGCGCTTGCTTGGGAAACCGGGTCTCGCACCTCTGATATTTTCATGTGCGAATCATTTCCAACATGATTACCACTTGTCTTAACGGTGAAGGAAAACATCGTGCGGAAACCTGCATGTCTGAGAGAATCTATCAAGTTTTCAAAAACATGTGAAGTCCGCCAGTGCGCACTTGGCCAGCGTTGTGAACTATGGCCTGATTCCCCTCGTACTGAAAGGGAGCCCCGTGCCCAGCAGTGGGACGTTAAAAAAAGAGCTGAATACAACGAGTTCGACATTTAAAAAAAAAACTTAATTTTAAGCTTATCAATAATATATAATAAAAGCTAAATGGACAGTTGATAAATCATTAATTGGTACTATTTATAATATACACGAGATAACACATTATTATTTATAGATATTCGCTTGTTTTCAAGCAAAAAAATTGTTTATCGCGAGACTCAGCGAGGTGGATAGTGGATAATATCTAAAGTTATATTTTACTTACTAATTTCTGCATTCTAGCTTCATATCTCTCTCTACGGACTTCTCTTACAGTTTTGCTGATAGTAGCATACCTCTCAAAGGCCGGTACTGGCGGTAGTTGTTTTTCTGGTGGAACGTCTTCTTTGGTTACAGGTATTTCTTCATATAATGTGTGTCTCATTAATTCTGGTGATAAAGTTTTTAGTAAACTTAATATTATGTAATATGTATGCATAATAGTGAATTATCCTTGATTTGTTGGGCTTTTTGTGGTTATAATAGAATGTACAGGAAGCGCCACCTTTTACAAAATTGTGTTTAAAAACTTTTGCATTTATAATATTAGGTTATATTAACAGACATTGACGAGACATTTACCATTCCGACTGGCACTTTGTATAGGTAGCGGATCTGACTCTTGCGATTATTGTATTATTTTCTTACACATTTTTTTTATTTTTGATAAATCTGTCTTTATTTGTACGAAATTAGAAATTTAAATTTGCGCGATTTTTCAATCTATCCTTCCTCGTAATATATGAAAACTTTTTAAGATGGGACTCACCGCTATTTTTTATGGTTTAATCAACAATTTTTTATACTCGCAGGACCCAAATACTTATCACCATACTCCTTCATTTGCATTTCACCGTTCATATTTCTTGTGAATATTAAATTAACATCATACTAAACTAAATATTTAGAACTTACTAACAAAATCTCGATTATCAGTATCAAACATTTTGAACAATACAACTAAAGCTTCTCCTTTCATCAGAGCGTGAATGCATGCTTCATTTGGGTCCACATCGCTCATGTACAGAGCTTCCTTCACACCTTCCTCTGTCATTTGGATTGAATCCTTTGCTGCCACTTGAACATCTGAAGAATATTAAGCAAAAATAATAAAAAATAGTACTTTACATATTTAATTCATATTTTAAGATTCATATTTCGGAGAAATTCACCGAACCTAACTTAACGTTATGCTGTCTGTCCGTTAGCCGGCTTAACATAAGATTATGGATGAAAAACTTAACTTTAATGGTTTTTAAATTAGTAGGATACTAGTTTAGTAGAATAAAAACCAGACATGTATGTAATTTAAGTTTAAATAGTGGCTACGTAAAAAGAACGGGACAGACAGGAAAATGATTGTTCATAATATGCTTAAAATGTGATTTTACACCATTTGTTGCCGTAATAGAAATAATAGCTAACTTATCAAGTCCCACTTTTCATACAAATCCAGATGGGCTTTGTGGCAATGAGGCCAGTATAAAATGAAATTTAAACGTTTCACGTGTCTAGACAGACGTTCACAAATGCGTTTCTTTCTAGCAGCTACAGTCAAAACGCGAAGTCTTTCTGCTGCTTCACGATATTCTACTTCCAATTTTACATCTTCTTCGATTTTTGCCTAGAAGCCAGAGATAAGTAGCAATATTTAATACATTTTATAATTTTTAATTCGAGAGGTGTACTTTTATTATACAAAATCTTAATTATTTATTCCTATTCGTTAAGAAAATCCCGACATACATAAAATTAACATTCAAATTACCTAAAGGCATAACTAGACATAGCAGAAGAAAACATATGCTTGGTCCCTTTGGGATAGTTCAGTTTCTATTAGTTAAAGAATGTTTGGAATCGAATTAGGAGTTTTAGAGTTTATCTCCAATATCAATCTCACAATGTTTCGACTTTTTACACGCAATTTTTTACATAACATAGGATCTTTTAATATGATTTACGATCCAAGAGTAGGAAAAGGGAAAAGTCTAATTTAATAAAATATATTTTCGGTTCAAATTGAGTTTAAGAGTACGCTCTATTTTAACAGATTTGTAAAACTTAAGGGTTTTCACGTTTACTTACAGCTTCTTCAGGTAAAAGTTCATAAATTTCTTGTTTTGGCCGCTCTATACCTGTTTCTATTTCTTTCTGCATGAGCCCCATTTCTTCTTCAATAATTCGACACAGTTCTAACCCGTTGGCACCAAACATTGCTCTTATTAGTTTGCCTTTCTAAAATAATTACAGTTTTATTATTTTGTTTGATAAATGAAAAGATATATTATGTAAATTACGTAAATGACGTAGAAAAATTTTGGAAGTCGTTTTTAGCTTTTTTCTAATTGTTGTTTCGATTTGAAATTTTGAAATTAGCTCAATGCTCGATGACAATATGCAAAGTTGAATCGAGTTGACTTGATCATGTGTTGAATGGTACTAAATTCGAAGATTTTATTAGAATCCATTGAAAGACACACTTTCCTTCCATTGAGTCTTTCATCAGATCAGCACAATAATAAAAAAAAAAACAACCGAATTGAGATCCTCTTCCTTTTTTTGAAGTTGGTTGAAAAATATTGTCATGACATAATATTAGTCTAACCATTCTTTTTCACCTATGAATGTTGCTATGATTTACAAACACGCCGTAAAATTTCTGTTCAAACCTAATATTATGAGCGTAAGGTGCTTAAGGTAATCATTGATAATTAATTATCTATACTTATATATTATAAAAAGGTGAACTATATGTATTATAAAAAGGTGAAGTTTGTGAATTGTAAGTTTATGACTTTGTGACGTAGGTAAGGGGTAATCTCTGGATCTTCTGAACCGATTTAGATGAAATTTGGTAAGGAGATAGTTTGAGACCCGGGGAAGAATACTTTTTATCCCGGAAATCATTCCTTAAGGGGGTGAAAATGGGGATGAAATTTGAAAAGGGGAGTCAACCTAGTATCTATCCTATCCTATATATCCTAGTATTTGTATAAAGTCAAAGAATTTTAACCTATAATATGTAGGTAACTATTTTGAAGTACATTCGAAGTATAAAAGAAAAAACGATGCGATTTGTTGTGCATGTAGCGTGACATCTTAGTGATGGGACATTAATGGCACGATAGATTGTCGATATTAATTATATGGGAAGTACTTTCTGTAACATTTCTTCAATTTTTGTCTTTATATAACAATTAAAACAAAAAAAATACGTATCAATGTTCTGCGTAACTGATAAAACAATATTTTGTATATCTACCTTCTTTTCGTCAATAAATGAATCTCCAGGGAGTTATATTGCAAAGTTTTTTTTGAATTGATAGTAAATCATGAGCTATATTTTTAAAAATAAACGATATTTTAAAATACATTCTTTTGAGAATTTATTCTGATAACCTTTATCGATAAAATTAAATGGAAGTTGTCACTTCCCAATTATTTTGGTACTGACAAGTGTCACCCGCACCATGCTATAATGAAAGTAGTATAACAAAAGCATGCTATAAATAATATATTTACCGATATGAAGAGAAACGTCGGTTCACTCTTATTTTTGAATCTGGATAGCACATCTATGTTATCTGCCAGGGCCTGAACAAGATTAGTTATTTATGTTTTACATTATTTACTTTTATGATTTTCCAATAAGGTGTTCCCATTTACCCTATTCTTCCCCCAAATTTTTCAACACTCGTAAATAAATATTGTTAGATTTACGTTTTATATTTACGCATATAAAAGTGTAGCAGCCGGAGTTAAATCTCATTCGAAGCTCTAAAATGCAAGAGCTTACTCGCAAATAAAGTTTCGTGTAAATAAAGATTAAATGCTTTAAAATAAATATTTTTTAAATATCATTAATATCACACCAATCTATATGTGTGAGAATGGGGATGAAAGTTTGTATGAGAAAGCAACATAGGGACGAACCCGAGCGAAGCGAGTGAGTCGCTAGTATTATATACGCGAAAGTTCTTAAGCGAGTAACTAAATATGTTTGTTACGTCTTAACACTATAGTGCCTCAAAGGATTTCAATTAAAATTGGAACAGATACATATTTTACGCTTGATTTGTATATAAGCTACTTTTATCGACGTATGACCACCATTTCAGAAACGTCGCGTGCAGAATGTTGTTTAATTCGTTTAATGTTGAAAAAGAAGATTCAACGTAAAAATCATAAGACATGAAAAAGAAGCAACAAAAAAGTTTTTACTTCTTTTTTTTTATACTGTAAGATAAATTGTCTTTATTGTATTTACTAGCGACAAACCTACTTCCGGTTCGTCCCTAAACAAAAATAAATGTATCCCACGGGAACCGTATCTTTTTCGGGATGATATATAGCCTTCCTAAATAAATGGACTATGTAATGCAAAAAGAATTTTTCAAATCGGATCAGTCTTTCGTGAGATTAGCGCGTTCAAACAAACAAACAAACTCTGCCTCTTTATAATATTAGTATAGATATATGTATGTAGTATTATAACCTTAACCATAACAATTCGGTCTTGACCAATTTCTAACTTTCCTTTTCTTATAGCGTTGCCAGTTGCTAGACAGTGTCCACAGAAATCTGAGTATACCTCCATACCTAGAATATTTGCAATACTATTTATTATAGTCGAGCGTCCTGTGTCCTCTTGTTCTCTTTGTGAGTTTATAAGAAAGTGTAGTTCAGGATAATGTGTTGTAAAAGTAAGCTAGATTGCTATAACTAAAAGAAGAACGACACGTTTGGCTCAGTTTGTAGTGACCCTACTTACTGTGCTAGAGGACTCGGGTTCGAGTCCCGCTAGTGGCACCCATTTGTGTAAGGAGCACGAATGTTTGTACTCCAGTCATAGGTGTTTATAATTATAATATGTATGTATTTAAAGTTATATATGTGTAGTGTATCAACTATCTGGTATCCATAACACAGGCCTCGTAGCTTACCATGGAACTAAAAAAAAAGAATAAAAAGAATATTGATTATTTATTTAATTTGTATTAATATTTATAAATGTACTATGGATTTCTGTAAAGGGATAGAAGATGAAGAAGAGTTTGTGATAGACGTCAAAAAGGAGATTAAGCGATATCGTACCAAATTGTTAACCGATTTTTAACTTTTAACGTTATTTTGACACTAGTATAACTAAAATAAAATTTGAGAAAAATAATATTTTATTATAAGCTATATTACCGTTCAATATCATCAAAATCCGTTCAGTAGTGTTTGCGAGAGAGTTACAAACATACATACATATGTACATCGTCACAAACTTTACCATCATAATAATAGGATTACTTCTGTGGAAACCTTACAAATTAATTTATCGAGGTTGGCATGAAGAACTTCTTCTAACTCCTCATTAGTTTCTACAGTCTCCTGTATGGTAACTTGTCCTTTTCGAGCCATGTTTTAGAATAATAATTAAATAATATATAGTTTTTCTTGTCTTTTTAATGTGTGAAAATAGAAACACAATTCTTCTACTTCTTGACATCTGTCAACAGGTTTTTTTTTCTATAATGGCTTAACAGACGCAATCCATTCTGCCAGAGTCACGTTTTGAAACAGGGTTTTAGTCAAGATAGGTAGGTATGAAATTACTTTTGGTTGACTAAAAGTCAAGTCAATGTAAATCCTTTTTATTTTTAATTTTAATTCGACTTGTTATAAAATACTATATCAATTAAATGTATGATAATGGCATTAAATTAAAAAAAGCAGTCATGAGGGCTGCCGACTTAAATGAAAACTTAAAACTATAAACAAACAGTTGTTATTTTTGGATATTCAAATTAATTGTTTGATCTTTAATTATAATGTGTAAATTACAACTGTTAACAATTTTATCTGGTTTTGACATCTATCGGCACTCTGAGTGTTAGCGTCAACACGTCACGTGACCATGTCGATGACGACTTACATGAATTTAGAAGTCCTGCCTGTAGAAGTCTTCACTTCAAAAAAATCATATTGTAGTCAATTCATATAATTCATATAAAAGTAAGCATAAAGAGTAGAACAAAAGGACAAACTGATAATAATCATAGTAAAAGTGTTTCATCAAACTATTTATTTAACAGTCCGTAATCGATTTTTGCTTTAATTTGAAGCTTTACAAAAAAGAGCTTCGAACCCCGAACCTCTTGATCGAAACATACATACTAAGTACTCGACTAAAGAAAATAGCTTGCCGATATATGTATGTGTATTCAGCCCTTTTTAACGTCCCACTGCTGGGCACGGGCCCTTTAATACGAAGGGGATCAGGCCATAGTCCACCACGCTGGCCAAGTGCGGGTTGGCGGACTTGACATGTCTTTCGAAAACTTGCTAGGTTCTCTCAGACATGCAGGTTTCCTCACGATGTTTTCCCTTCACCGTAAGGCAAGTGGTAATCATGTTAGAAATGATTCGCACATGAAAATATCAGAGGTGCGAGACCCGGGATTTGAAACCGCTTCACTCGGTTTCCCAAGCAAGCGCGTTACCACTGGGCTGCCACTGCCTGTAAATGCCGATATATAAATCTATCAAATAACATAATACAAAAGTTATATCGAACATATGAAACAGGAAGCGTGTTTTCCATTTTCTTTTTATGTCCCTGTCGAAATAAGAAACCATAACCATAAAAAATAGTGAAATATTATAAGAAACGGGGTAAAATATTGCATTGATAGATCAAACTTGTCAATTTAGTTAAAAATATTAGTAAAATAACCAAGCAAGCATGTCTTAACTACTTAGCCTTTATAGAATTGAGAATATTGTGTATTTAAGCAATTTTTCTAGTACTCTTTCAAATTAGTAAGTTTCTCTCATTGGTGAAGTACCTTTATATTATATTGAATGTTAGTGCTTATCGATACATATAATAAAATTGTAACGAAGCCGAATCTGTTCATTAAATATTTTTTGGAAAATCTTATTAAAATAAACATTATTATCGATACAGAGGCCGAATCTATAGTTTCTAGAATTTTTGTCTGTCTATCTGTCTGTCTGTTACCGCATCACGGAAAAACTACTGGAGGGATTTTGATGAAATTTGGTATGGTGATAGCTGGTTATCCGGGTCAACTCTAGGAAAAATGTCTCATTTCTGAGAAAAGATACAAAAACTGCAATGAAATAGTTTACTAATATGTATAACGTAAGAATTTGGTTTTTGGTCATCTGAACGCGGGCGGAGCCACAGGCAATGCTAGTATATTATACATGGAATTTTTAGAGTGTGTATTCATTTATATGTTTATATATTGTATATATTTTGTTTTACTTATGCTTATCTTATATATTTTCTTATCGTTTCTTTGCACTTTCTCTTTTCCGCTACTTAACACTATTTTAATAAATGATATAAGACTATGCATACTCTTTTTTTTCAAATTGGTAAAAGAAGGACCTACTTTTCAATAAAATCGGTTAAGCTTGTGTCCCGTCAGCCATGTAATAAGTCATAAAAATAAAATAATATAAAACTAAATATAATCTAGGCTAAGCGCCGACTTTGTTATGAAGGGAGTATAAAATTGTATTCTCTAATTTTCTTTTACGTTTGCACTAAAAATGTCGTATAAATGATGATGGGATGATATGGGGTCATATTTTTTATCTATGGTATAAAGTGTTACATTATCATAATATTAAATATAATGTTTTGTATATTTGTTTGTTTGTCGTTTCAAAGATGTAGATGATTGTTGCTTAATAAAAACTTTTAATAATATAAACCGAAACCTAATAATAGAAATTTTTAATTTTTGAACCATTTTTGATTATTTTTAAAACCATCATTTCAAAGGTTATTGAAGGGAAACTTCTTCATGAGAGTAACATGGTCGCGTCATGAGAAATCGTCACGAAAAACCGTCATGGATACCATAGCAACCGCTTGCTTTAGGTTCTCATAGAAACTAGATTTTTTTTATATATTTTACATTGGAAATTATTATTTAAGTAAAAATGTCTACTATTGACAAAGAAATATCGTAACATACAACAAAAATTGTACAACTGAATTGAATATGTGCTCTATTTTAGAAGTGGGTCAAAAACTGATTTCCGTACCTATTACAATAAGCAACACTATATTAAATTACATTCGAGTAGTAAACCTTAACGAAGTGTTTGCTATAGATGACTCGAGACTCGATGGCTTAAATGATTTAACTCTGTTAATTTGTATTTGCTATGATGATATACGATATTACTATCCTTGTCTCTAACTCAAATATCATCCATACTAATATTATAAATGTGAAAGTGTGTTTGTTTGTTTGTTTGTTTGTTTGTTTGTTTGTTTGTTTGTTTGTTTGTTTGTTTGTTTGTTTGTTTGTTTGTCCTTTGGCGCCCCCACTGTCAAATATATAAATCCTTTGATATTCTTTATTCGTAAATATATCTTTAATACTAAACCATACGTCGCAGCGTCTCAGTGCTTATTTGTCCAAACGACCAATTTACAGGAAGGGAATTAATTAAAGAATTATTTAGTTTTAAATGTTAATTCTATTCGTATAAAGTACTCATTTTACTTTATATACGTACTAGCAGAAACCGCGGCTTCGCTCGCGCTAACTCTACAAAAAAATCTCTAAAATGGTAGATTTCATACAAACTTTCCACAACATCAGCTATTTTACCCCCCTTATGGGATGAATTTCAAAAAATGCTAAAACACGTATTTGGTTAATTGCATTGAAGAGCATTTAAACCAAGTTTCAAGTAATTCTGATCATTATTTTTTTTTGGATTGTGTTATAACGTTTCCCATGGGAAAGAGATAATTTCTCGCGCTAAAAAGTACTCCAACTCTCCAACTATCTCCACACAAAAAACCACGCCAATGCGCCAAGCCGTTTCGACGTGAAAGAAAGACAAAAAACAACAAACAAACAAATCACTTTCACATTTATAATATTAATTAGTATAGTATGGATATGTATAAAAATCAAAAAATAAAACTTTAATTTTAAAATAGGAGAAAAAACTCTATAACGTTTTTTAACTTATACTTACTCACTTTAAGTTAACTAAATTAAGTACAACAAGTAGGTAGCAGTTTGGTTATTTGAACAAATAAGCACTAAAACGAATAGATAATAATAGAGATTAATAAGTAGTAAAAAGTTACGGTTTGTGTTATTAATAATAATCTGATTAAAAAGTTTTCTAAAAATTTATCCGATTAAATGTAATGAAACCAAATACAAAGAGCTTTCCGAACATTCCCATTCTATATAATAAAGTATCATGGTTATTTGGTGACTGCACTGAATATACGAGTAACATACATGCGCGAAAGAACAAGTTTAAAGCTTCTACTAAATAATGCACGTGGCAGTAAAATAACAAGTCTGCGAAAGTGCCAAAAATGGACGTGATTTAGAAGTCGTTTGCAGTGTTTTCAGAACTGCGATTGGTTTAAATTACAAGAGATGAGATTCTGTGTTTGGATTTTTTTATTTACGAAAGTAATAATCATGATATTTACATACACTATTAATATAAATACGAAAGCTTGTATGTATATTTGCTTAACTGGTAAATTTGGAGCCATTAACAAGTGTATTGAATTGAAATAAATTTCGCCGATATCGCGTTGAACGGAACAGATGCGATTTTGTGACTTGTATTGAAATGACTAAAAACGGTATCTCAGAAAAATATATGTTAATTTCATATATTTTTTTGAACGATTGTAGAGTGTCAATATGTCTAAATGTATGAGAATCAATATATTTAAACATAAAAATGATAATTGAATTACGCTAGAAACTTATGCCTGAGACTAAACACACGTGATGTTTCGCGCGAGTTGATCAGAAACGTCACTGCTGTCGTGCCGTCTGCCACTTGCTGTCACTCGCTAGTTTAGACATGCTACTTTACGTGCGACGATAATAGCAATATTGTCATAGCAAGTACTTTACAGTGTTACCTCTGTACTAAGTTATAAGTTTGCACATTTGTTGGTTTCTCATGACAGGTTAGTGAAGTTTAATTATGTTTGTATTCAGGTTTACTTGTATACTTTAGTTAAAGGGGTATGTAACTTTTTTAGCTTAATTTTGTTTTAGTTTCGCGAGTAATAAGAGTTATGTCATAACTAAAACACTATTTAAGTAGGTTATTTAAAAAAACAACTCGCTAAATCATAACGAACCAGAGATATTGTGTTTACGTTTGATAAAAAGGAATACTTTTTATCAGGCATTATTTTTTTAGTTAGAATGTTAGAATTTTATTATATGTATAGATTGTAACTAAGCCGAATCTGTACATAAAATATTTTTTTGGAAAATCTTATTGAAATATACATTATTATCGATACGGAGGCCGAATCTATAGTTTTTTGAATTTTTGTCTATCTGTCTGTTACCGCATCACAGAAAACCCACTGG